ACACCGCAGTGCTGGCACAGTCTCGTACGCATTTGCTTACGGTGACTCAATGTTGAAAACTGCCTTCTTTTAACAGGGAAGCTATCATATACGGCCGTATAATGTCCACGGTCTCCAGAAAACTGTCGTCATCAAGAAGGTGTGCGGGTGCCACAGAAACTGGGCAGATCCCGCTACTCTACACTGGAGAACTGAAGATGATTTCTGTGCGGTGTGGACACTCAGTGTTGAAAAACGTGAACTCATTGTGTAAGTGTTGTGCCATTTACATATGTATAGCCTTGTGTTTGCTACAAAATGTGCGATGTCGACTTCTGTGCAAGAGAGGAGGAGTAGCCGGCGCCCCACATTGGCACCATCCTCTGTTTATACACATTTAATAATAATAAAAAGAAGGCATCAGTTTGCCCAAGAAGCGGGTGCGAAGCGATGGTGGCGTGAGCGAGACGACAAGTACTGAAATAGAGGAAGAAATAGAACGAGAAGGAACGATAAAGAGAGAAAGTATACACACATACAAAAAACTTTATTCTTGTCCCTAAGGACAAGACTAGGAGAGGCCAAGAGTCCTTCCCAGTCAAGTCGGTGGATTCACCCATGTCGGAACCGGGATATTATTACTCTCGGTGACGACACGAGTCCTCTGGACGGTCTGGAGCTGATACGTGTGGTCCGGACTTCGCAGTCACTGATACGAGGTGGGCGCATAGTTCATTGAGCTCAGCCAGTAGCACACGTTCAATGAGCTCAGCCAGAACATATGGTCGAAGTAGCAGGTTTCGTGCCCGCATTTATAGACTTGACCACGGAAAATCTGGATTGGGCCAATTGAAAGGACTAGGAGTAAGATAAGTGCGTGTCTGCAAAAGTCTGAGAGTAACCAATTCGGCACTGTTTAATTTGGGGTTCGGTGGAGGAAATATCTGCCTGCTCGGACTATAGTGAGACGCAATTTCGTTGAATGTTTTAAAAGATCCCTAATGAGGCCGTCCTGTAAATGAGCTGGTCTGTTATTCCCAGCGTGGTACGTGAGCTCTTGCGCTAGGGAATGAGTCCGCTTGTTGAGATTGCATACAGAAATGCGTTCGATGTGAGCAAGAAACCACGAGATGTGGTCACCGCTGAGATTTTCATTTATTCCTTCTTGCATAGACTGGTTAATGATGCTAGCAGCTTTGTCTGATAATAAAACATTCAAGTAAGGAGGGAAACAATTTTTTCGCGAGGTGAGATTCGAACCTGCCTCCACATTATCCAAACGTGGGCGCCTCGCTGAGCACAAATAGAAACGGGACAGGAAAGGAAAGTGAGAGAGCGAGGAGTACAGATATTATGGTGAAGAGGAGGGAAAGGGAGGTGCGGAGACAGTAAAACATACCGCAGAAAAAAATAGACGAACAGGAAGAATGAGGCAGAAAGGAAAACATTGAGAAAGAGAGAGAATGAGAGAGAAAGCAAAAACTATAAAAAAGTAAAAGAAAGAGGATGTGAGGAATTCAGAGATAGAAAGAAGGAAACACAGTCTGATAACTTATAACAATACCGGTTCAAAAGCTGTCGCACCACTAAGTTTTGTACATTCTTTATGGAGAAATAACCCTCTTGCAGCAACGCTCGAATCCCGCATTATTGGTTATAACAATAATTGTCAGTTGAGTGCCCGCTATGAAAGTTAATTGAACTCGAACTTTTCAAAAAGAAATTAGAAAACGATAAAATCAAGTTCCTGACCCTTAGCTCACAACCCCAACGTCCCAAATGCCACTTTGGATTTGCAATATGCTTCGCCGCATACTTTTTAAGCATCACGGTAAAGCTAATTTTAAAACCACTATGACGGGGAGTGAAGGTGGTGGCTTCTGTTAATTGCCTTTCGGACTTGCAACTTGAGTAAAAAGTTGCAACTTGGAATAGCTTTAGCGTCCAAAACTTCAGACGTTGTCACACGTTGGCTCTATGGGGCTCGTGGTGGTCTCGGGAAAGCGTCCCAATTTTCAAGCTTGTCCGTAGAATCGGCAGCTCTGTCAACCTTATCAATTACGTCTGTCGGCATGTCCCATCTGATATTATAGTTCTCACATGGGAGCCTGCCAGTCGCCATGTATTGTTTTTTGTGGAACTCGTATGTAGCGACTGTCGCTTATAACAATAAAAGTTTCGAGGCACTTGATAATTGTTATAAGTGGGCTCTACTACAGAATATAGAGAAAAAGTATGAAAAGACCAAGAAAGACTTAAAAACACGATGAGGAGAGATGAAAGTAACGAGGTGAAGGTAACAAGGAGGGAACGCCACTAGCACCACTGCTACCGTTACTATTCGCACCACTAGGGCTAAGCTGCCCTACTGTTAGGGGGCGAAGCTCTTAGGGCCTCACGATGTCCGACCGTTGTCGTCGACGCTTGCCGCCATCCCCAGTCGAAGCGCAGGTGCGACACATCTGTGCGCAAATGCCGTCTACAGAGCGTACATATAGCGCATATGGTTAAAAAAATAGAACAGACCTGTAATTTGTCCGTGCATCTGTCCATCTGTCCATCCGTGCACGTGTCAATTCGTCCAGTGTTTCAATTGCGTTTGTCTGTCCGTCCAGCCGTCCATCCGTTCGTCCTCAATACTGGTCAGCGACTTAAACGTGGACGTTATAAGACTTGGAACCTAGCTTCGCTTAATAATCGAATTCACGTCGCGGACCTGCAGCAATTTTTTTTTTGCCTTCTCAGAGACGTTCCTCAAAAAACTCTCTGCACCTTTTGTAATTTTGCAGCACCTTTGGGATAAGCACATGCATGACCACGCCACGATGTTTTATGATGAAGTCACAAATTTTGGTGGCCTGTGACGTCATGATGTGAGGTGCTTTCAATGCACGCCCCGTATGTGATGATGTCATTACGAGATGATATTTTACATCAGTCTTGTTGACACCGATGTCACCGACGGTCACGTTGCGCGTTTGGTGAGGCGTCTAAAGCATTCTCTTCAATGGAGAAGTGACTACGCATTGGCAAATGATAACGTCGCCTGACTGCGGAGCGGAAGGAACATTGATCACTCAGAGATCCAGAATTAAATGCTTCAGATCGTCGATTATTAAGGTGAAAGCTTTTAATGTCTCATACTCGCGTCCATCCATCCGTCCGTCCGTGCCCTAGAATGGTGCCAGCTGTAGCCTCTGCTCTTACACTCTCATGATAATTACGTGGTAAAAAGGATTATAAACAAAAATTGAAAAAATACGTGTCATAGTCAGTCGAATGACCATAGGCTCTTGCCGAACAAACTTCGGAATCATGTGGGAGTGTGCAGACAACGGCGAAGAGCACGACACTAGTGGCACTTGGGACGAATGGGAGGCGTTGCTGTCTAGCCCAGCCCTGGTGGATCAACTGAGAGCTGAACGAATGGCACGTGCCAGTGGGGCCCTAGAATAGGGCCATCACCCTGCCGGACAGACTACGTTTTTCACCCTGTATATTTCCTACAGGGCACTGGAGTTCTATCCTGCCTGGTTTATGTATATGGTAAGGTTTTTACTACTACTGCTACTACAAAGCGTCCTCCAACCTTATACTCTCTCACGCTGCCAATAGCAAGCCTGCTGATTTGTTCAGTTGGTTGAGTGACCAGCCCGAAAGGGCGTTGGTCTCGAATTAGAGCTCCGAACGAGCACGAATTGTTAGATTAATTTTTTTCCTCTCTTACGAAAAATTCACAAGAATGTTCTTGTAAATTTTGCCACAAATGAATGGATAACAATTTATTTTACATTATTATATGACTGTCAATGGGAACACATAAATCTGGTATATTGAACCGACAAATAAAAAAAAGGTATGGCCAGCAATGTCACCAGCTAAAGTCCGGCAATAAAAGAACAAAATTATGCCGTGGTGTTCAGCGTGAGCCACTAGTTAAGCTACACCTAAAGTTCAACTTGGAATAAAGTGTGACGCCGGGATACCCTTTACCACCTAATCCAACGTTAATGAGCTTATGGCAGGTGGAAATAACATGCAGGTTAATGCATTTGTCTGCGTTTGTACTATAGAGTAGATTGACAAAACAGGGACTGTTTGAAGCAAACACTCCCCGTGGAGATAGCCCTGTGGAGGTAGTTTACCTGGGCAGTGATATGTCTTGCGACAAGTCTTCCCAATAGCAGGGAAAAGCTCTGTAAGATTTCTTTAAAAAAAAAAAGGTTAATCCCAAGAACTGTCAAAAGAACAAATATGGTAGAAATTAAAGAAAACTGCTACGGAACATCAGATTTTAAAAGGGGGAGGCAATGCAGCAAATACATTTTAATGTTGTTGCGCTGAGCCAAATGAACGAATGAGCAACGAAAATGCACCATGCATTTCGCTTAATGCAACAAAGTTCGAATGCCGTGCTAACTAGCACAAGTTGAAATTTTGTTGAGGCGAAGACTGCAGAAATGGAGTGTTGCTGCCAGATGCTGTCAAGTAAGTTTCGGCGGGCATCGAAAGGAAAGGTGACGCTCGTAGGCATTTGCGAGGTGCAAAAGGTCGAGCAACGTAACAGGGATGCGCGACTTCGTGGGAGGCAGTCATCCTTGGATTGCACCTTCGTGGGAGGAATGAGTGGAAGGTGGGCGCAACCGGAGCCTGACATATTGCCCTGGTCGATGGGTGGCGGCTTCCGGTGCGCGAAATGCCAAGGTTCGTGCGAGAGAAGCAGCGGGGGTCCGCGAAGAAGTGGAGGGGGCGCTGGCCGCGCCCATCGATTCGGACCGCCCAGGCGTCGCCGCAACATCGGTCGCTGCTCGGGCACCGGTGCGCCAAGGGGCTCTCGAGGAACAAAGGCTCCGAGACGGATCCCCCGAGCTGCAGCCGGGCGCCGGCCCTAGCATGCGGCCCACGGTGAGGGGGCATCTCGAACGACGCCGGCGTTGCTCCACCAGCTGCTGCCACCAGCGCGAGGGATGCTGCAAGGGGACGCGTCTGCCGTTGCCACGACGAGCCGGGGAGACGTCCGGATGCGCGCGGCGTCATCGCGCTGCAGCGACTCGGAAGAGGACGAGGACGCATGGTCGCGTGACGACGACTACGCGACGCCTCCGCGACCGTCCTCGTGTGACGTGTCGCGTGACGGCGACGAGGCGGCCCCCCATCCTGCTCCGGCGCTTCCGCGCCATCGACCGCCGGGAGCCGACGTGACGGGCGAGCGACGTCAGCGGCGCATGCGTTGCTGCGAGCCGGTCGCGTCGGCCGCCGATTGCCGCGGTGGCTCGTCGGGTCACGAGGCCGCCGCGGCCGGTCGCAGGGCCATGCCGAGTGGCCTGATGAGGCCGCTCGTGGTGCTCGCCTTCCCGGGCATGTACCTGGTCTACAAGATCAGCGAGTTCAAGCGCCAGCAGCAGGAGCACAACCGGCGCAAGGTCACCGAGCGGGAACTGGCACACCTCAACCACAAAATCGTGAGTGGGCTTTGTTTTTGGGCGCTCACTGAACACACACACTGATCGGCGGCGCCGTATGTGCGCGCGCGCGCTGCGGCTGTCCTTCGCGCCGGCTCCGCTCAGCAGTCCGAGTGGTCTCGACGGCTGATTAGCTCTGACTGCCACTTAACAGCGGGACCGAAAAACAATATAGTTATCAGTTTCACTTGGCTGGTGCTCACATGTCTGTGTGTTCGAGGAGTTGTCTCGCTGTTATGGTTTGTGTACGACCGAGCGGTGAGAAACAAAGACGTCGATCGCATCATGACAGCGTTTGGTATAGTGCTGTATACGTGACTGAAATCGACACGCCGTTCTTGACAATCACAGTTGTGCGCAAATGCTACATCATCTATATTCTTGATTAAAATAAGCGCTAACAATCAGTCAGTGTACAATATGTGAAAGGTCAAGCTCAAGACAGAGTGGGACTTTCGGATGATACTGGCTACAGGAGGCGCTGCTCGAAGCGCTCCGTAATCTTTGGCATTTCCGCACCAAGCCGAAAGGTCGGTCACACAGCCAAAGAACGTATCACTCTCGGCTAAATACACTACTGAAGTGGGTGACACTTTTACCACTTGAGTGGTGTTTTCACCCGCTTCATTTAAATAAGCTGTTTCAGCCAGGCTTGACGTGTATTGCGGAGAAACACGGCACAAACCAAGTCTCACTTCACTTGCACTGCCTCCTTATCAAACATTTCCACCCACTCTTTCGCATCCCACTCCAGCCCAAGCGATGGCCTCAATCGTACCGCTTTTGAACACGGTCCCAAATGTCAAAGGTTGCCTAGCATCACTTCAAGCTGAGTGGGGGGGGGGGGGACGCAAATGAGGTGCTAGTTATCGTAAGCAGACGGGCGATCGTCGTGTCGAGGCATCGTCTTTGACGGGCGGTGTGCGTCTGGAGTGAGCCGCGACGAAGCGCCCTTGGCCCATTCATTGCTCGTCGCACGTTTTTCATCCTTTGTGAGGCGAGGCACGTAAGATGAAAGGGCGGTGTGTGCCGCCGCTCTGATAGCGCTCTCGTTCCACTATGCTTTTTCCACGAGCAATGAAAAGAGGGGGGGGCCTTCGCATAAAGAAGTCATACGTCGTGATTGCGGATTCTGGAGTGGAGCGACGGAGCTCTTTTAACGCTTCGAAAGGGAGGATCCTAGGAAGCTCACTTTTGGTTGATGAATGGGGGAGAGAACTCTTTATAGAAAGGAAGAGAATTTAACCAACCGGCGTGCGTTACATCGCTGATTTGCTACTCTGCGTGGGGAAGGTGATTGGGGACTGAAAGGTAGCAAGCAAGAGAGGAGAAAAAATAGAAAAAGGTTAAAATGGAATAAAAGTCGTTGATGAATGTCGTTGTATATACTTGAATCACTCTGCCCAGTTACAACTGGTAACCTTGCCTCCTCTTACGCTATCGCCTCAGTAAGTGACAAAATTTTGCTAGGCCTTTAGGCGTGGAGTGTTCTCGTTGGGAAAGAGGTGACATTTGCGAAATTCAAGAAATAAACATAACAAAAAAAAGAAATGAAAGCTCCCACTTACGTACGTATTCTTCTTTAAAAATACATATATTCATGACGAAATGGTTGTTCGAGAGCCATGGTATAGTCCTAGACCAACAATGGAGGTTGACAGACTGACAGCTGTTAGTCGTCCATACGCCGAGCGGTGCAGTTTAGTAAAATCGAAAACACCGCGCCCGATCCGCTTATGAAAGCGAATTCGTCGCAGTTTATGAGAAAGTCGCCGAGTCGAACGTGCGCCCGAAAGAGCGTCGGCTGTTTACTTCGCTCTAACGGGCTCGCAGGCGACGGGGGAGGGTGCAGTTATCGTTCTAAACCGAGCTTGTGCCTTTCCAGTCTATCTCGTGCACCTTCCAGGCCCGCAGCGAGAGAAGAGTGCATGGTGTTCGCTCTCTGAGACTTCACTCTCCAAAACGTGAAAGAGAGCTGCTCCTACGCGTTTCGCCCTCGTCGTCGGGCAACTGTGGGCGTCACAAGCGCGCTCTCGGAAAGTCCGTTCGCCGTAGCATTGACGCGAGCTAAATATAGAAACATGTGGGAGCTCCATACTGTCGCGGCGGCAGCTTACAGGATGATCGCGTCGGAGTGTACACGACTGCCGGCCGACGCCGTAGTTTATATTGGGCCAACCACCGATTGCTCGACGATGACCGCATCTACGCATCCCGACTCCCTCTCGCTCTACAGTTCTCGCTTTGTTTATCTACTTCCAATCATCGTCGACGCGCGGTGTTTGCCGGCGGGGCTTCTGGTCTACACAGTACTTACGAATCGCAGCGCGAAAAATTCAGGGACAAGCGATGCACCCACTTTCGTTTCCAGGGTCTATACTTCGAGTCACATCGGCGTAATTTTGACGAGAACGGTTACCTAAGTGCCAACTTTGCCTTATTGTCAGCGACATGAGAGGGTTATTAGGGGCTCGTGGCAGTCATTGTACAAAAAAAAATTATGGATGGTTCCTTCGTCATAGGAATCGGTATAACACGAAAATGAAACGTGTCCCTCCAGAAATTGTTTAATGTTTGCTCTACATTGATATAAGAGTTCTTGTGCAATGTTTTGTTGGTGTTTTACAGCTACAGCATCGCTTTACGCGGATGCATCCACGTTGAAGCTTAGTCATACATCTGCATCCCGACGACTGACGTCTATCATTATTGATTAAACAAACCGAATTTATTGTCATATACACTTGTGGTAGCCGTATGGTGAGAGCAAAATCAAAGGCGGCGGTGTGACAGCCAGAAGAGCGGGACTGATTGGACGCCGAACTTGGGCAAAGGTCGCCTGCTCGTGGCATGCTGGAGTTATTGAACACCGCAGCCCGACCAAAGGGAAACCCGCCTCGTGTCTTGCTTCTGGCCGACCGTGATTATTCGTGGGGCGAGTGCAACTGGCTATAGCGCAAAGATACATCCAGGTTAAACAGGCGCGTTCTAGAGGTTGCCGAGCTAGGTTTGATCTGGATGGCCGCTATGAGCGACGCCGACTCTTGGGGTAACGTGTGTGCCAGCATGTGCTTGAAGTGTTTCTACATCAGTTCGAGTTAAAAGACGAGCGAACTGTTTCTTTCTTGTATTCACTACCCTTCGTACATACGCTACCTCCTCCTTGCCACTGATTTTCCCATAAAAGCAAGCGGATGATGTCAGCCCTAAGCGTTGAGCCTATTTTGCGCTCTTCGACTGCACGCTGTGGTCTCCACTTGCGCAATAAAAAACGCGCAAACGGAAGTGATACGTGTTGATCGCGCACAATACTGATGCATGCGAAACGAGGCAGGACGGGCACGCGCCTGCATGAGAAAGCAGCGTTAGGCACAATTCACGGCTGATAGCTCTCATGTGTGAACCAATCGGGAGCTCATGACAGCGGGACGTCACGCAAACAGACTGCTGGCATAACGAATTTTGTGCCGACAAGACGGGAAATGCCCGAAGATAACAAAGCTCTCGTTTTTTTACTTTTTGTATTTTCAAAAGTTGTTTAGAAGCCTTTAGACGCTGTGTTGGCGTGATGAATGCTGTCAATTTTATTGAACTGGAAGAAAAGCCAACGTTTTAGATGTAAAGGTAAAAGATAAAAACGAATTGTTTACTTGCCATGATGAAGCGCGTTGTGAAGTTTATTCGCTTTTGATCAAAATTCTCCTAGACCTTGTTACGTGGACGGTGGGGCCAAAAATGTTGGAGGAGAACTTACAGCAAGGTTTGTTAAACAAGCTACATTGTACGGCGTTTTATGTTTTGCCTCAGAGCTGCAGAAAACAGGACACAGAAAAAGTAACGTGTGACGACACACAGGAGCTATGTGTCGTCAGATCATCTTTTTTCAGCGTCTCTTTCGGACCGCTGCAAAAAGAAAAAAAAAACGAAGTAAAAGATTCGCAGCACTCGTCTAACAAAGCAGAAAGCACGGTGTGTTGAAACGCGAGTCGTAAATGTCGAGACGAGTTTAGAGTCGTTGACTAGCGCGTTCGTGTGAGGTAGCAGTACGCGAAACAAAGCAAAGAAAAACCCCGAGAGAAGAGGTGCTGTGTGTTGCGCAGACGCCATCAAGCCTTACGCAGCTGCAGTGACGAGGCCTATCAGCTAACCCGTTGGTTAGGTTGCTGTACCAATAGTCTGCTCGTGGACTTGCTCGAGACTTCCTTCGGCGAGCCCACGAAAAAAGAAAGGATGGTACCCTGAAAGGCGCTGCTCATTTTGATAAAGAGTTTCAAAAATGTCCTGGATCACTTTCTCGAGTCGTTGACTGCAGCATTGTGGCCCGAAGCTCGCGAGCTTGATGACTGCATATCGACGCACTCTGTTCTTTAACTCCTTCATGACACCACCTATGAAGAAGTGTTCGTAAGCGCCTCCAGGTGACACAACATTGTTTCGTGTCACTTCATATTCTATTTGATAAAATGTCACAATACGTTAATTTATATGTGTTAGAGTAATTCATCCTAATTAACTTGTAACCAAATATGTATTTATTATAAGAAATAGAAACTCATGATCTGCTTGGCATAAATACAATCTCAGGCTAGAAATACAAACGCGAATGCGTTTTCGGCTATGTTCATATTGAGCAATTACAAGTTGTAGTTTTTGTCGTAGCTCGTGGGAAGCGGAAGTTCGAACTATTGGTCGAACGTGGCAGTTTCTTAAGTAAAATGACTATCCTCAGCAGAACACTGCAAAATGAAGTTAAAACATTTATTACGTGGTAGGTTCAAATGCCCAAGAGGACAATGTATCTAGATATTACTTAGCCAATAGTCGACGCAACTAGTAGAAAGAGGTTGTGTACACAATCGTGCACAAAGCGTCTCAAAGAGATTGGGTACGCCCACAATGGCTGGTTCGTTTAAAAGGCTCCGACGGGGACTTTGCGACGACGAAGCATGCGACCTAAAAGAACCGGAAGTAGAGAGAAGAGAAATCGCTTTAGATGAAAT